TGGCCATTCAACCATAGTGTCTTCAACTTGGCCGCCGAAAAAGTGAGTTTCCTGTCAGAAGCCAATCTTGACGCTATTTCTAGCTGCGCGTTCGCATATTCTGTGAGTTTCGGACGGTGTTTCCCGGAAATGAAAAACGCTAGATCGTCCGCGTATGCGACGATCTCTGTACCAAAGCGGAGATCGCACGAGAAGAAAGGGTTGCCCCGTATTTCCAGAGGTCTAGTCCAAATTCTGAACTCTATGGACAACCCCTAGTGAGGGTCATTGAGAGTGTCACGTTTTAAATTGCTACGTGGGCCTTCCGGTCGTCAAGGTAGCTCTTTGTCAAGGCGATCAACTCAGAGCCGCATTTTACGCTTTGTATGTCTTTAATCAATTTTATTGCGCCTAATAGAGGTAGTTGAACACCCCCATATAACCAGGAATACGCCTACGGCGTATTTCTCCCGCCTTTTCGCCTGCCCAGCTTAGCACTTAAGTCATCGCGTCAATGGTCCATAGGTTCTTGGTAAAACCAGATTGTTTTGCTAACATATGAATGTCCGTATCTTTATGAATTTTCGCTATGATTGTTAAGGCCGGGAGCACATAATTGTGAGATATGCGTGCCTCGGTCACCGAAATACTTCGCACGCTTGTATGGTCACACACCGACCGACCTGTGTATGCGTGTATTTGTGTTTTTTTAGCAATTCAATAGAAGTGGATGGGTTTGTCGAGCAAGACTATTGAATGCTAGTGTGCGGTCACCGCACTGCGTTGGATGTTTAACTGTGTGTATAATTTAAAGCTAGGGACAAATAAGTAACTCAATAAAAATAACTGGTAACTCTATGCTACGGTAAAAAGATATATAATAATAAATAATAGTACTAATAATAATTACGGCCCTTTTGGCCTAACATGTAGAAATGTATAAAAGGTTACACAACATAAATATAATAATTTTATAGGCTCTTTTAGCTTAATAATAAGGATATAAAAATAAAGGTTATACATGCACGGTTCTTATGGCCAAGCAGAAAATAATAATAATGTGAGAGTCACAACAAAAATATAATAATAATAATAAATAGCCCTTTTGGCTCAATTAATGTAAATATAAAAATAATAAAAAATTATAGTATAAGAATACATATTTAGCCCTTTTGGCCCAACCGTATAAAAATGTAATAATATAAAATAAATAAATAAATAAATAATAATAATTAAAACTCACAAATTGTAGCGCAAACTGGTCTGTTGCTTCCTATGCTAGAATAATATAAATCACACACCCACACACACAAAAAATAAGAATAGAAATATACAAAAATAATAAGAAAAATATTATAAAAAATAGTATAAATATAAAGGCGAGTTCCCATCGCGTGTGGCTCGGCGAATCATGAGCCAAATACGCTGACTTGGTACACTACACGCGCCGTGGGAACGCTCTAGCTCGTCTAGGCGCGGTATAGCTCGGCCAGGCTCGCGTTTATCCGAAAATTGTCGGTCCGATGTTCCGCGCCAAAGGAAATGAGCCGCGCAATTAAATAGCGTTTCAACGAGTGTGCGGTTCGGCGAGCCATAAAGCATACGTTTTTTGGTGTTTTATTTATTTTGATGTTATTTTAATAATATTCTTAATATTTTAATAATTTATAATCATGGAATGGTCAAATGATGAGGTTATAAAGTTTTTGCAACTATATGAATCACATCCACAAATTTGGAATCTACGCCATCCAGATCATAAAAATAGGAATACCTATAGTTCACGATGCGTGGAAAGAAATAGAAAACCAATTAAGGTTAGATAAATTTTTGATTTTTTAATAATATTTTTAAATAAAATATATGTTTTGTAGGGTGAGGTTGGCAATACCACCATCCTACACCTCCGACGCAGCACTGTGTGTGTGTGTGTGTGAGTAGTTTTGTTACGTCTTTTTTTTCTTCGTATGTACGTATAGCACATATGAACTTTTTTTTTACCTATGTATTATGTTTTAATATTCTAATGTCAAATAAAGTTTTCTTTTATATCTTATGAATTTGATTTATGCTAATTAATAATGGGTCGGCGTAAAAGTAACGCCGCCTACAGTTTTTAAATATTGATTTTTGTATTTTTGTAATTTTAGTGTCAAAATTGATATTACAGAAATAATAAAAAAAAAAAGATTCTCTTATGGCTACTTATAGAAAACATTTAAGCAAAGTTAAATCAAGTAAGGGTACTGGAAGTGAAGCCAAAGACGTTTTTAAATCCGATTGGTTTGCCTATGATGCAATGGCATTTCTGCACGGGATTTACACTCCAAAAAAAACAATTTTAACAGAGATAAGTTTAATCGGTTATATTTTATTTAATTATATGTATTTTATGATTTGGATACAAATATACAATACAACTCTATCATACATTATGTGGGCAGTAGCCAAAAAGTACTCATATTATTTAATTAATATATATTTATTTATTATTTTTTACTATGATATATTTCAATAATTATATTTTTTTAATACATTTTAGTGTTTATAATTTGGATTTAATTATTAGTTGTAATAAAGCGTCTTTTTTTTCGTCTCTTAGAGGAAAACTCGTAAATACGGCCCTGTACACGTAATTATTATTTAATATGTTAAAAATACCAATGGCCAATGTAGGAAATATACTTAAAGTAATCATTCACGTTGCTCTAGTCGCCGATTTATAAATGTAATAACCGGTGTTGACATGTATTCTACCAATCATGAACCAAATGTTAATTTTAGTTGTTAATAGTTTTTATGTTATTTTTGTTCATTTAAAGTATGGGTATTTATGTTTTAAAATATTATACGATATAGCTGTGAAAAATAAATATGAATGACCCGAAATAAACTACTATATCATCTATATAATTTTAAAAGTAGCATCTAAAAATAAAAGAGAAATTAATAAAAATAAAATAATTTCAATGAAATAATTATTTATGTATTTACCACAAATATTTTTAAGTTTTAGTTTGGTTTAAAAAACGAATACTTGTATTATTTTAGAATGTTAAACTTATTTTATTAATGCTGTTTTTATTAGTGTGTATAATTTTCTTGCCATTCCACTGTTCCACTTGTCAAAAAATATTCAGCTAACTAATCTCCATTTTTGCTTCAAGACTAGACTTACTTGGTACTCTTTGTAATGGAAGCATAGATTTGGTACAATTTTGTTCAGACCTTTAAGAGCCTGGAATTACAATTCCATCCTTATTTTCGGTATCGAAAATTCCAGGTGGTGTGTATATAGAATTTGATGATCTGCTTTTTCTTAAGAAATTATGTAACAATACACAAGTCATTGTGACATCTCTAACTTCTTCCGGTTCTAAAAGTATAGGTCCTCTAAATACACGGAATACCGAGGTCATAATTCCAAAGACGTTATCAACTACTCGGCGTGCTCGAGGAAGCCGGTAATTAAAAATTCTTTTGTAATTTCCATTTTCATGTACTCAGGAGTGCATAGGTTTCATAAGGTTTCATTATGTTCTTACTTAGAGCAAAAGCTCCATCTGTCACAAATACATATGGTAATAAAACATTTGTATTAGGTAGTATTCCTTCTTGTGGTATTAATAATTCATTTGTCTTCAGTTTTTTAAAAAATGGCGTGTTCCGAAGTACGCCACCATCGCTGATTCTGCATTGACAGCCGATATCAACATAAATAAAATCATAATTTGAGTTCACGACAGCCATAAGTACAATGCTAAAAATTTCCTTGTAATTATAGTATTCAGAACCTAACCTGCCCCGAGGCAGTTGCGGAAATTCCATTTTTCGTAAAAATCTGCTACTATATTTTTCCAATCATTATCATTGTTTGGCAACTAAAAAAACAATGGTTAATTTTCATTACGTTGCGTTTTTATTTTTAAATTTTTTTCAAACTAATAACATATTTACTACATTATACTATTATATATTATTTGTAAAATTATGACTATACAATCTACCTACGTTAAAAATTTTAAATATAAATACAAATAACTTATTATCTAGTGATTTTTAGTAGAGTATTGTAATTTATCATTCAAACATACGTATTTGAAATACATTTTGTATTTTTTATTATATTTAATTCATCAGTTGTTTGATAAAATTGTTTAAAAACACATAGAATATAATAAAATAGATAATACGTATTATGTTGATGTTTTTAAATTTTATTTTAATAATAAAAAACCATATATTTTATTACTTTTATCAGTTTGAAAATTTGGTGGATGATGACAACATGACTGCAAATTGTCAATTACACGACACAACTGATTGGGACTTTAAATTTAAGAGCCTATCTCCATCGTCCAGTAAAATTAGTAAAAAAAGAAAATCAAATGATAAAGTGGAAGTGATTGAGAACAAGATAGATGAAGCATTTAAAATTTTAAAACAAATTACACAAACTCCGGCCAAAAATAAGTGTACACTTTTTACCGATTTACTTTGCACTAAATTAAAAACTTTAAATAAATACAAACAAGACATTGCAATGATGGAGATTGACAATCTTATGTTTCGGTTAGAACATTCAGATAACCAAATGGTACAGCCTCAATCACCCTATTATCAATTTCCAACTACTAATATCCCGACATATTCTCAACAGTTACACCATGATAATTATTCAAAAGCATCATCATCATCATCATTTTTTCAGCCACAACCATCACCAGAGTACATATCTCCTACGCCATCTACATATTACCATCAACATTTTCAACAATTTCAAAAACCAACACCAACAACATTACAACACAGTAATGTAAGAGAAAAAAAGTTTTGATCAAGATACTAATTTTGATTCACCCTACTAAAATAACAATATTATAAATGCAATTTAGTACCTATAGGCATTGATACATAGATAGTCTAAGACCCAAGTGATAGGAAAAATGGTTAACGCTTTATAAAGTGAAATGGGAACCAGAATTGTAGTAGTGTGAGAGCAATGCCAATAGGTTGCGCTGTTAGTAATTTGTTCTACCATAAAAATGTTTTGTCTTACCAAGACCAAAATGTTGATCACCTATCTGTTATTAATGTTATTACTATCATTTAAATAATTCAATCTGCAACAACGGTCAACCAGTGCCGTAGATAGATACTTGTGTGCCCCGGTGCAAATTGGTGTAGGTGCCCCATAAATAGTGTACACCATTTATAGTGTACCATGTATTAGAATAAATATATGAAGACAAACTAATTTACACAAGTTTTATATAATTTAATGTAATATCAAAGAATTTTAATAAGTTAACATCTAAAACGTTATAAGATATATTATAACAATAACTACATTATATATTTATATTAGGTATTGATTATTTAAAATTAATAGATCACTTATGATAATAATTATATTACATTCGTATACTATACTCACATAGAAAATTAAAACAAAATGCATGCGCTACTATTTTATAAAAACTAGTATAGGTTATAGGTACATATAATTTAAATTTTATTTTGTACAAATTTAAAAAAAAAAAATGTAGTTACACATTATTAATAATTATAGGTTTGATGACTTTTATTTTAATTTAGCTTTGTAAATAATAATAATAGTAATAATAAAAAATTATCTTAATTATATTTTTTATAAGTCAGAAATTAGTTTTATCAATACTAATTGTATTACCTACCTAATTTGAATATTAGTGTTAGATTTTAAAATTTTTTTTTCTTGCTTTTTGATTTGCGAAATTGTTAATTATTTGGTCAATATGTAGTTCTTCGGTGCGCTCTCTTTCTATATTTAAAATTGAAATTTTATTGAGTCTTTCTTGAGAAATCGTATTTCTTAAATAATTCTTCACATGTTTCAATTTAGAAAATGATCGTTCGGCTGAAGCGACAGTTACAGGTATAGTTAAAAATATCGAGCATGCAGTAATAATATCTGGAAAGCTACTTGAAAGATCATTTTCTTTTATGTAATTTACCATACTAAGGATATTAGGCAATTCAATTTGATTAATAATTGATTTAAAAGACAATACTTGTCGAGTAAAATCAGAACTAATGTCAATGTCATATTTTACAGCAAAATCATAAGATGCTTTTATGATATCAGCTTCATTGTTTTCTTTTAATGAAGAAGGATTTAAAAAACTAAACGTACTTGCAACTTCATATAATCCTTCAAATCGTCTACATATTTGAAATAAAACTGTGTCAATAATTGAAAAAAAAACTTGACTTTAAAATTATCTTTTGTTGTATTTAAACGTCTATCTCCATCTACTTCATTGAAATAATATTTAGCAAATGCCTGTCGCTTAGTTTTAAAATCTGTAGGTATATTCCATTTTGAACATATTAGTTCTGCTGTATTTAAAATATCTTTAAAATTATTTCTAAGATTCGAAATTAACTGATAAGCTTGATCTAGAAAAGTACAAGCACTTTGAATATTCATTTTTTGAGATTGTAACATTTTTGATACACATTGAGTAGACCTTAAAATATTTTCCTATAGACATATCATAAGAACAAATTCAAAAGACTCCATTGAATTTTTTAAGGATTTACTTACAATTTTTTCTTCTGACTTATGACTAGTTAAAAAAATCATTGAAAGTGATTTTAAAACATCTACAAATCTTTCTTTAAGAGCAAATAACGATTTATGTCGAGCTTCCCAACGTGTTGGACAAAGTTTTTTAAGTGTTTTTTTACGAATATCATTGGTTTCATTTCCAAAAGCTAAAAGTGCCCAACGAGGTGCACTTGAGCTGAAAAAATTAAATTTAGATTGTATTGTTTCAAAAAATCGTAGAGCATCTGAAGAACTTTTAGCGGCATCACATATTACCAGATTCAAATTGTGAGCACAACAATGAACATATGTGGCGTTTGGAGCTTTATCAATAATTCGTTTCTGAACTCCTGAATACATACCCTTCATGACACTGGCCCCATCATACCCTTGCCCTTTGCATTTTTTTATATCTAAATTGGTATCAGAAAGAACTTTATAAATTAGGTTTTCGTATTCTTGTGCTCCATGTTGGTCTATTTTGTAAAATCCTATGAATGATTCTTTAACTTGCAAAACATGCTTTTCATGATCAATTATAACATATCTAATTATGATGCTAACTTGATCTACTTTGGTAATGTCCTGTGTAGAATCCATAATTATTGAAAATCCAGAACTGCAAGTTGATATTTCGTTGCAAATAATTTGTCTTACATTTGAAGCTAGAATTTCTATTAATTCGTTTTGAATAGTAGGGCTCAAATATTTAATTGTCAAATACTGATTTTAAAATAGGATCAAATTCAGCTACTAATTTCACAGTTCTAAGAAAATTTCCTTCAGAATATTGTTTTTCTTCATTGCCTCTTAGAGCAGTATTTCCTGCAGTTAAAGTCAGTATTATTTTAACTATGCGCGTCAATATATCTCTCCAAAATTTCACTTCTTTTGATATTTGTGTTTCAAATTCTTTGTTGATAGTTAAATTTTTTGTCCACATTGTTCTAACTTTTATAGCATTCAAATGTGACAGTGAAGATTCGTGAATATTTATTTTCTGAGAGAGATGTTGCCAGTCATTTATTCCTTCTACCCATTCTTTTTTAAGATTACAATTATTTTTACCAGAAAAAATCCAGCAAGTTTCACAGTAAACCATATCCCAAATTACGAAATAACAAAGCCACGGTCTAGGAATAAGTGTACCATTTTTTAACTTCACGTAGTAATATATTTTTGAAAATTTTCTTTTCGAGTCATTAAGAGGAAAATCTATTTCTGGCTTACAAGGCCCATACTTCAGAATTTCACGTTTTAATTTATCGCTTATACAATTTTTAAACATTCCTCGGTCGGTTGGAAATCTTTCCGATAAATCGAGTTCTGTAATTTCATATTTTTAAATTATAGTATAAGGTTTAAGTCAGTATAAATTAGATAATTTTGTTGGTTATTTTATTCAAAGAAAAATAGCAATTAAAAAAGTCGAAAGAGCATTAAATTAAAAAAATTAACACTCACCACAGTCATCGTTTTTTTCAGTAAATTCGGTGGTGTCAAATTCTTTAGTCGATTTTTCATCAGAGGGGAAACAATTGTTCAAATGTTCAGTAAAAACTACATAAATGTTACAAATAAATAAAAATGGTTCTCAGGCATGCCCACAGAGAAGTAGTTCAGATGCAAAATACTTTTAGTAAAAGTATTTAGAAAGTTAACTTACCCGGGGGAGTAGTACTTTCAATAATTTCATATTCATCAGTTGACTTATAAGTTTCAGTATTAAAACTGAGCAACCCTCCTGTCTTGTTTTCTGTGTGTGCGTCATTTGATATTAAATCTGTGGTCGAATTTTTATCAGAGTGAACAAATTTGTCCATATGTTCAGGTAAAACTACATAAATAAATACGTATATTGGAAATAAATAATAATTAATATTTATAAAAATTCTTCATATTATAATACATTACTTGTAAAAATAATAATAATAATAATAATAAATAATAGTGAAAAAGACTAGAAAAATAAATACTGAGAAAAGGCCGAACATTATTTTTGTTATTATAAATAACTTAGTATTATTTTACAATGTACCTAAATATGTAATAATGATTCACTGAATTGTTTTACTAAAAAAAATTGTATTATTTTACCTATGCATCTTTCATATTTATTTATAAAATATAATAATTTAATACATACCGTTAGTTGGCAATCCACTTGTTTTTGTAAAAAAACCACTTATTTTAGTGAGCTTTGAAATATGTTCTTCCTGTTGTATTTTTTTTTTTTCATTTTTCATATCCACTCAGTTGTTTTTTTGAAGACATTTTTAATTTGAATAAAAATAAATGATACTCGTACACTAGAGCTAGGCTGTATATTCCACGCGTATTAAGGAATGAATGACAACGACGCGTAGTCGACAAATTACAAATGTTATGTTTATCTGATCGGTTATAGACATACTGTTCAACACAACAATCTATAAAGACACGTTTTTAAATAGGTAATCGCGATAACGTGAGCCGAAACTAATGGAGTTGCTCGCAAGCCAGAAATATCATAAGTTTCCGCGAACTCGCGTCTCATGCTAACGACACTATAGGTAATGTAGTTACATATTATGAACTATTACCGTCTATGCGTCTATCAACATAATAAATTAAAAGGCCTTTATTCATCATCTCACAATAGTATTTAATATAATTTTATAAGATAATTTTCTTTTTTCTTTGTTGTATATTTTAGGTCACATTATCACATAATCGGTAAGGGCGTAGGGCCCTTTCAAGATCAAGTGCCCCGGTGCATTGCACCGCCTGCACCAGCGGTTTCTACGGCACTGCGGTCAACATCAACAACACCTACAACGTGTCAACGTTATTATATTTTGTTTTTTGTCTGTGTTTAATATTATAATTAAATTTTTTAAATGTCCCGTGCTTGTGGTACTAAGTGTTCGTATGTGAACTGTGGTAAAAGTGCTCGTTCTGTCTTGGATCTTAAACTCTGCCGTTTTTCAAAAGATGTAAGTTTATCAAAACAATGGATATTAAACTGTAGTAAGAAATAAGAATACTAATAAAATTAATGAATATAATATTTATATGTATAATTTATAATATAAATATATTTTATATTATATATTATTTAATTTGCTAAAATAATAGGTATTAAGTAGTTTTTAATTAAATTGCATTACATACAAATACCTACATGTATTCATTTTGTTTTGTAATTTTATGAGTACCTACCTACTGACTTACCTATAGCGGTTTTTTATTTTTATCATATTAAACTCAACTTATATAAGCTAGGATCGTATGTAACTGTATAATATTACATTTATGTATTCGATTTTTCATATTGTATACCTACTTAACTTTGGTCAAAACCTAGTATGTACTTAACTATTTTATTAATACAAAATACAAGTATAATATTTATGATACGAATAAAAAATAAAATATTGTTTTTTTTTACATATCTAGTTGTAAGTTAAAAATATGTATTTAATTTTTTAGGGATCACTGATTTATTACACCTTGATGAAACTGATTTATACAAAAAAACGAATTTGTGAGCACCATTTTGTAGAAAACGATTTTACAAGTTCTAATAAACAAAATTTAAAAAGGTCTTCAATACCACAAATGTTCACTGCAATAGAAGATAACAATTTACATGTTACTTTATCAACCAAAACGTACAAAAAAAAAAACCAAATTGTTCTTAATCAACTCCATGTGTTATTGTCACAAAAAGAAAACGTTCATCATCAACAAATTGTTCACCATCTAAAATGACATCCAGCCCAAAAGAAACTATCTATGTTGTAACACCTACTACATCTCATACATTACCACCATCATCTTCAATTGCCAATACTCCGGATATGACACCTATATCTAGAACTCTAATGCACAAAATGATTGATTTTCCATCTTCCATAAAACCAAAAAAAATATTTCCTGTGACAACTAGTAATACAAGTATTATAAAAAGACTTAAAAAGTCATTGCTCATCAAAAGTAACTTTTAATGTCAAAAAGAGTCATAATATTCAAATTAAAAAAAATCTGACTTTATTAATTTATTGAAATTTCCATCAGAAAATGCAAAAACTTTGGTTAAAATGCAAATATCACGTAAAAAGACAAGTACAAAGTCATGGTCTCAGAAAGAAAAGCAATTGGCTCTGAGTATTTTTTATAAATCTTCTTCAGCATATAAGTTTTTATATTTTTCAAAACAAATTAATTTATACCTGGACTCACTTCGATTAAGAGTTGGATTGGAAATTTGAAATGTCTACCTGGCCTTAACACTGCTTTGTTTAAGCAGTTGAAAACTATAATTGATGCTATGAGTAGTCGGGAAAAATATTGCACATTAGTCTTCGATGAGATGAAAATAAAGAATTTCTTGAATACAATAAACATTTAGATCTAATTTGAGGGTATGAAGACTTAGGTTCCAAAGGCAAAACTAAACAACTTGCTGGGCAAGCTATGGTGTTCATGATTAGAGGTCTATATTCATCATGGAAGTTGCCTATCGCATATTTTCTACCTTCTACATCAGTAAAGCACATCATGTTGGCTGATTTAATAAAAGAAGTACTAGAACGTTTGTTTCAATGTGGTCTTGTAGTCAAAGCTATTGTATGTGAACAAGGTGTTAGTAATGTTGTTGCATTTAAGGATTTAAAGATGACAAAGGATAAACCATATTTTTATATTGGTGATAATAAAGTTTATTCCATATTTGATGTGCCACATTTATTTAAGAATTTCAGAAATCATTTTATAAGAAATAACTTTGTATGCGCGCCAGTAAGGCTCATTTCACACTACACGGTTTTGACCGTACGGCAAAAAACCGGACGGCGACATTTTGTTAGAGGCGCTAATAAGAGCATATACGCTTTCATATTATACGGTCACGGCAAAATGCCGGCGCCGCGCCATGCAGCAACCGTCTACTGCCACTACAGTAAACGGCAGCCGGACGGCGCGATAAGCTTAGTGGCGTACGTGACCAAATGCACGTTTTCATATTATACGATTTTATTCGTGCGGCAGAGTTCGATTAGCCACTTCGAGACACGATTACTTATGATTAACAAATTACTTAATTACTTGTGATTTAACTTACAATATATTATCTAAATAATGGCGGAATTCAATGTAGAATTTTTAATTACTCTCGGGCAAGAGAGACCAGTGTTGTGGGACAAAGGTTTAGAATTGTACAAAGATAGGAATGCTACAAAAAAATGCCTGGTGAGAAGTTTTAATAGAACTTAACCTGGAATTTGATGCTCTTGATGACAAGGAAAAAAATTTGTTTGGTAAGTATATTTTTAATAATACTACAATAATAAAATATTATTTAAAATATAAATTCTTAGTTTATCAAAAAAATTGAAATACCGATATAAATTAGTTCATTTTTTATTCATATTCACGGGAATTTCAAAGTTTATATTTTCGACATTTGCCATGGTAAACTTCCGACGTCAGAAACAAAATATTTACACAATGTATTTCTTATATTATTTGGCGTAAGGCCTCCTCTTACGTTACTTTCATCAGATATATCTGAAAAACCTGTGATTGACATTGTATCCAAATCGTTATATCCATCCCTCTCAAGTACAAAATTATGTAAAACAATGCAAGCATTTACAATTTTGACAGCAAATTCTGGTTGTACATTAATTGGTCGATGAAATATCCGCCACTTATTTGTGAGGATCCCAAAAGAGCATTCAACAAATCTTCTTGCTCTAGATAGTCTATAGTTAAAAATTCTTTTATCAACTGTCAGATGTGTTCCACCAAAAGGTCTCAGTAAATGTTTGTGTAAACCAAATGCTTCGTCTCCAATGAAGAAGTAAGGTAGTTTTGGACTGTCTATTCCGGGCAAAGATTTTGCTTCTGGCAATTGTTGTTCATTATTTTCTATTGACTTCCACAAAGTAGACTTCTTAAACACTGACGAATCGCAGTGTTTACCGTAACTTCCAACGTCAATGTACACAAATCGATATTTGGAATCTGCAACTGCCACGAGGACTATAGAATTATATCCTTTATAATTAAAATACATTGACCCACTGTTAAGTGGGCAAGTTAAACGGATATGTTTCCCATCGACGGCTCCTAGGCAGTTCGGGAAATTAGCTCTATTCTCAAATCCGGAAGCAATTAACTCCCATATTTCTTTCGTTGGTGTTGGAATACAATCCTCTCTCATTAGGCACCAAATTGCTGTACATACTTCTTCTACTATTTTAATTGCCGTTGAAATTCCAATTCTATAACTGAAATGTAAATCGGTGAATGTACAACCACTTGCAAGATACCTAGAAAAAATTTAAATTATGAATAGCATATACAATTATTTTTAGATTCTAAACAGAGTAATAGATGTATTGACTTTACAATAAGGTGGGTGCTTTATTTATTTATTTTTGTGTCTGTCATCACATTTTGAAGCAGTAAATTTTTTTCAGGATTGCCAATATTCTTTTTTTGAATATTTGATTAATATGTTTTCTTTCAGGTCAAGGAGTTCTTAAAAGATGGACTAATCTTCGCGATTCATTTTCAAATTATTTTAAAAAAGACAAAGAATGCAAGAGAAGTGGTTCAGGAGCAAAAAAAATTAAGAAATATGTATACTTTGATCAATTGCAGTTTTTAAAAAAAATTTATGTTGAGCGACCGACTTCGAATAGCCTGGAACCGGAACCGAGAACGATCCACAGAATGAAGAAGATGACACAGAGCCTCAACTGCAAGCTTCAGATAATGTTTCAGATATGTCTAGGGAAAAAACAAGTAATCCACAAAAAGGAAGGAAAAATAAAAGTCAGAACGAAATTGATTTGAGAATCATAAAATTACTTGAAGAAAAGGATCAACCTTGTAATAAAATGGCTTTTTGCAAAGTCTCTTGCCTCACCTGCAACAGTTTGATAATCAGGACTATTTACGAGATTTCAAATGGGTGTTTTGAAAGTTATTGAAAATATCAATGAAAGTAAGAAAGAAAAACATCTAGCTACATCTTCTTATTTCCCACCTCATCAGCAACTTTATGTAAATACATCAAATCCTACTCAATATCATCCTCGACTATTGTTCAACACTCCCAACCACTCCAATGTTTTCTTATCTCAGCCATATTCAACTGGAAATCAGCAAATTCCACCATGCAATAAACAACTGACTCCTGTTACTACCAACCACGAGGTCTCTTACACAGAACTTGAACAGATTAGCCCTTCTG